GCAGATACAATTTACCCAAACCTGTGAGATGCAATGAAAATTGTCTTAAAAGGGAACTTTATAGCAATAAATTCTCACATCAGAAAAATAGAACAAGCCCAAATAAACAATCTTATGCTTTACCTCATGCTCCTAGAAAAAGAAGAGCAAGTCAAGCCCAAAGAAGCAAGAAAATATAAGGATCAGAGCAGAAATAAATGCAATGAAGATGAAGAAAACAATGAAAAGAATTAATGAATCAAAGAATTGGTTATTTGAAAGAATACATATAATTGATAAATCCTTAGTCAACCTTATCAATAAAAGGAAACAAAAAGTTCAAATTCATGCAATGAGAAATGAAAAGAGTGAAGCCACTGTAAATCAGAAGATCATAAATATCTATTTCCAAAGATTTTACTCTCACAGGATACTATATACAGAAGAATTTGACAGATTCCTAGATACATATGAACTACCAAAGCTGAGTCAAGAAGATATAAAATCTGAATAACTTAGTATTAGTCAATGAAATTGAAAAATGTTATTTAAAGAAACATAGCAACAAAGAAAAGCCCAGGTACTGATGGAGTCGCAGCTGAATTCTACAAGAAATGAAGGAAGGACCTAAAGCCAACTCTTTTCAAACTCTTCAATGAAATTGAAAGGGAAGCAATTCTCCCAAACTAATTCAGGGAGTCAAGTATTACTCTGATACCAAAATCATAGAAGGAACCAACCAAAACACAGAACTACAGGGCTCAAGAGATAGCTCAGTTGAATAAGTGCTTGCCTGGCAAGTTTTAGATCCTGAGTTCTATCCCTGGTACCACAAATACACACATACATATACCAAAACTACATGCCAATCTCCAATCTCCCTAATGAACATACATGCAAAAATCCCCCTATATACTAGCAAACAGAATGTAGCCAATCATCAAGAAGATTATGTATCATGAAGTGGAATTCATACCAGGAATGCAGGGATGGTTTAATATACACAAATCCATAAATATAATATACCACATCAACAGAGACAAAAACAAAAATTAATTTTCTCTACAGATGCAGAAAAAGCTTTTAACAAAATCCAATCTACTCATTCATCATAAACACTACAGAAAACTGGAATACATAGTCTTTACGTCAACCTGATAAAAACCATCTATGACAAGTCAACATCCAATATCATGCTAAATAGGCAAAACTGAAAGCCTTCAGTAAAATCAGGAACAAGACAAAGATGCCCACTGTCTCCACTCCTATTCAATACAATTCTGGAAATATTAGCCAGAATAATTAGACAAGAGAAGAAAATAAAAGGACTAGTGATTGGAAAAGAAGAAATGAAATTTTCATCACTTGCAGATGACTTAATATTGTACATAGAAGACCCCAAAAACTCCATTCAGAGATTCATAGATTTAATAACTAAATTTATTAGTAGAGCATGATACAAAGTCAACACTCAAAAATCAATAGCATGGCTAGCAAGATAGTTCAGCAGACTAAACACCTGATTAGGTAAGCACTGGGGCTGGGGTTTGATCCTGACACCACATGTTGCTCTGGCCCCACCCGCAGGCTCGTTAAGCTGGGGACCAAGTCTGGGCTTGGTGGCACGCACCTGTAAGTACAGCATTGGGGATGCTGAAAACAGGAGGATCACTACAAGTTTGAGGTGTGTGGTGAGACCCTGCACACACACACACACACACACACACACACACACACACACAGTCAATAGCATTTCCATACATAAACATCAAACACACAGAGAGAAATTATGGAAACCATGATTTTCACAATGAAACCTAAAAAAATGAAATATTTAGGGATGAATCTCACAAAGGAAGTAAAAGACGTATACAGTGTAAATTATAGTACTCTGAAAAAGAAACTGAAAAGGATTTAAGACAATAGAAAGTTATTCCTTGCTACTGGATAGGAAGAATCAATGGTGTGAAAATGGCCATATCCCCAAAATTGTTATACAGATTCAATGCATTCCTATTTAAAATAGCATGAGTACACTTCTCAGATCTAGAAAACAAAATTCTAAAGTTACTCTGGAACCAGAACAGATCTAGAATATCAAAAGCAAAACTGGGAAAAAAAGAAAAGGCAGGAGGCATCACAATACCTGACTTGAAATTATACTACAAAGCTGCTGTGATAAAATCAACATGGCACTGGCAGGGGAAAAAACAAACAAACAAAAAAAATAGATCTGAGGATCAATGGAGCAGATTAGAAGATGCAGACCCAACTGCAAACACACACTCAGCCACCTTACGCTTGACAAAGGGGACAAACATGTTCACTGGAAGAAAACTAGCCTCTATAATAAATGGTGCTGGAAATACTGGCTCAGCGCTTCCTGAAGGCTAAAATTAGATCCATGCCTATTACCATCCACAAACTACATTCAAAATGAATCAAGGATTTAAATATTGAAATTGAAAATTAAATCTTCCAGGGGATAAAATAGGTAGAAATCTTAAAGATACAGGGATACTAGAGAGTTCATAAACAAAAATCAAACTACAAGGGAGACACTTCAAAGAATCAATGATTGGGATCTCATCTTTGTGAAAAGATTGTGTGTGTCAAAAGAAATCATGAGCAGAGTAAAAATAAAACCCACAAGGTGGGAAAAAATTATAGTGGACTGTCCTTCAGATGAAAGACTCTTATCTAGAATATACAAAGAAGTTTTAAAACTCAGGCCTCTAAAATTCAAAGACCCAATCCAAAAATGATCATCTGAGACGAACACACACTTCACAAATGAAGAGATACAAATGCCCAAAGTATACGAACAAATGTTCAACATCACTGGTCATTCAAGAGATGCAAAATAAAACAATGCTGAGATTCCATCTCACCCCAGAAAGAATGGCTGTCATCAAGAAGTCAGCCAATATCAAATGCTAGAGTAGCAGTGGGGAAGAAGGAATCCTTTTCCACTCTCGTTGGCACTGAAGACTGGTACCACCATTACATCAATCAATATGGAGATTTCTCAAAAAGCTAGGATTGGAGATCCCATTCAGGCCTGCTAGTCCCCTCCTAGATATTTTTCCAAAAGAACTGAAATCATCATACCACAGCAATGTAAGTGCACCTATGTTCGTAACAGCTCAATTTGTTATAGCTAAATCTTGGAAACAACCCAAATGCCCAACAACTAAGGAATGGGTAGAAACAATATGGTATTTTTATGCAATGGAATATTACTCAGCTATGAAACAGACAAATTTTAGGCTTTTGTAGATAAATGCCTGCAATTAGAAACTATTTGTAAGTGAAATAAATCAGACCCACATGTGCAAACATTGTATTTTCTTGCTAGTGTGAGAACCTGAAAGAATAAATATAATTTGAAAGGTACAGTTGATACTGTTAAAGGGAAATAATTTGCTCAATGGGAAGGAAAATCTGGGAGGAGGAAAAGGTCAAAAAAAAAGAAAGGAAAAAGATACATTTATGTTTGTATGCAGGAGAATTTGAATTATTGTACTGTTGATATCTGCTGGTCTTTTGTAAGAAGCAGTTAATGATTAAATTTTTACTGTTTTTTCTTTTTAATTTCTTAGAACTTTTTTTTAAATCAATTTTGCATGTTTATATCTGGTAATGTAAACAAGTAATTTGAAGGTGACATACCGTACAGCAACCATTGTTGAATTTGAATTTCTTTGTTTAGTGAAATTTTATGTTGCTTGTAATTCTGTAGCTTACTACTATTTTATATTCTTTAAAAAATAAAAAATGAAATAAAATTATGCTATCTTTATAAAATTGTTTTAAGGGCTTGACAATTAACTGAGCTACCTGTCCTGGATGCTACTTATAATTTAAAGTAAAAATGTATTTTAATTGAATTCTAATGACATACTTATGCCCTGCCTTAGAAATTTACAGCATTAAATTACTTCTATTATTTTGGTTGCTTCAACTGTTGCATAAAGTTCAGTGATTTATAGGAATTAACTTCAATCATAGAGACTTTTAAGTAAAATAACAAATTTGCCAGGGACATAGTTCAGTGGCATAAGCACTTGCCTGGCAAGTGCAAAGTCATGAGTTCAATCCATGGGATGGCAAAAATAACATAAAACTAAAAAATAACAGATTTAAGTAACTTTCTCAGTTATGGCCAATGATGGTTGCAAGACAGCAAAGGGATGATTCGAAAACTTTTCTATATGAAGTATCTGACTGCGCATCTGTGTGGAGAGACGCATCGTTCTCGTCCGGGGCTGGCGCCCTGCCCCGCCCTACACGGAGTTGTGCCCTGTCGAACTTTGCTTCTTTGATCATTTCCTAACGCCACTTGCTTACTTTATTTTTTAAATTTTTGTTGTACACAGATCCTGCTGTTTTACATTAATCTTTTGGGGATTATTTTTAAAGAACAATCTGGTTGGGAATATATGGTGCCAAAGTCATCCTCGTGGATGGAAGGGGCCTCGTGTGGCTCCTTCATCCTCATAACTGCTTGATAAAGGACAGCTACAAGTTCCAAGACACATCTAGGTGACGTATCTGTTGTGAAGCACTCTCACACACCTTAACACCAGTAGGACTTTTCATTGCACAAAAGCGCAAACTTAAAGAGGGTTAGCTCTTCAAATACACGCAAGCCTTATCAATTGCTACGCTTTGCTTGACTCGTGGAGCTAAAAGTTGTCACTGCAAAAAAATCAATCTGTGTCTCTTTTATATAGTGGCAAACTGCTGTTAGCTGCACCAACTTCCAAGTACTAAAAGCGACCTTGTTCCACCAGTGTCTCAAACCAGCCCCACAGGGACAGCCAAGCCAATCAGTAACTCCAGCTTCCCACCTTACTGCTCGCAAATGCTTCAGATTTTCCGTATATGTAGATGGAATTGAAAACTGAAGTCATCACTTCAGAAACAGCGTGTACTCAGAAATCAAGCTAGCAAACCATTCTGCATAAACAAACAGGAAAAACAACACAAAGAGTTTAGAGATTGAATCTTGTACTCACGGAATGCTCTATAAAATTCTTCCAGACCCAGGTGCTTGTCTGCGTTGAGATCATCAAACTTCACGAGATCATACAGAGTACATTCAGAGTTGTCCTTGGACAGATCCTCCAGTTTTATCACCTGACAAGCAAAGTACAGCCACACAGTTACATCTACACCTTCACATGCCTTTAATATAATCAATTTTAGGTAGTCATCACATAATAGATCAATTTAAGTCTGCAGTGGGACAATGAAATGGACCCCAAGGAAAACCCAGGTTTCCATTTATTTTTAACTATTTCAAAGGCAAAACCAAAATGTTAAGAGATGCACTGAAATTCTGCATGAAGTTTCTAATATGATAGCATCACAGTAAGACCCAAGAAGTCTGAATATTTTGTATTTTACTCATTTACTTTCCTCTGCCTATGCTAATTTTAGGAAATAACTCCATATGTAGATTTTGTCCTGAGTCTCAATGTCCTGTGTCAAAACAATTTTCTTTCTCCCAAAAGTAGTGAGGCAGTTTGTGCTCATTTTCTCCTCATATAATTTGTGAAAATCAGAGTGTGAATTGCTTCGTCCTCTGCCTAAACTTCTCCCCTGCAGGAAACGAAGTCCTCTGGGATCGTACCACTCCTCGGCCACAGGAGAGCAGCTGCCCAGTGTTTCCTGAGCCAGATGTTATCACCACGCGGGCTGAGGGCGGAGGCCTGTCCACGAGTGGGTGAAGAAGGTCACCGGAGTGCTCAGGACTCGGCACTGAGCTCCCGAACTGACCCTGCAGCTTGCTCCCACTCCTTGTTGTGGCCCCTTCTGGTCCCCTTACAGAGCCACCTGACTTCTCAGACATTCACATTCATGGGGCAGCTTGTGGCTGCGGGTGTGACCTCCCGGACACAACGTCAGGAATTCACTTGCTTTACAGTGCTGCTTCAAAGGTGTTCCTGTGGAATCAGAAACAGTCTCTGAAGTCAGCCAGCCCTACCAATGTGATTGCAGAGCTCTATAATGCCTGTCAAATCGTTTTGCTATTCCTCAGCTAGAAACTGAATGAGAGAACATCCCACAACAGTTAAGTGCAAGACAGCAGATAGCATGGACCAAAAAGCTATCGGTACAATTAAAAGTAATGGTGCTTCACATGACATGTCTTCCAATAACTCACGGCTGGCTTCCAGATGGCAGTGTGGATGCTATGGCTGACTGTCAGGCATTGTCCCTTCTTTGAATTAAGCAGAGAAGTTCAGAAATTCTTGGTGTAATTGTGGCACAGTGCAGGTGCCCTTTGCTGAGGGTCCTCGGACACTTTGGCTCTATATCTCTAAACATATCGAACATACTTTTAAGTTGACAATTTGGTTGCCTGAATTAAACTGAATGAGGGTGGGCACCCCAGTATGTCTGAGGGCCTTGTAGACACATGGGCAGGGCAGCCTCCAGCACACTCTGGGACGGGCTTCAGTGGTCTGCAGACAGTACTTCAGAGACTGCCAATCGCATCTCAAAAGCCTCATGAATTCTCTGTTCTTACGTATGCTATCAACTTGTGTTGTCCAGGCTGACATCTGCTGCCTTAGAGGCACTAGGCAGAAAGTTTACCTGGCTTAACTGGGCTTCGTAAATCAGAATCGTGGACAGTGAATGTTCACCGTCACTCACACAGTGCAGCCAGAAGGGTTAACAGAAGTGCCTACTGACCAAGCCATCTCCAGAAGGGACCAGGAAGCAGACCCTGTTGTCCTTTTCAGAGAGCCACAAGCCTTTAGACCTCCTCTTGGTTACACCTCCAGGAATAACCCATCCTGGCTGGGAGTGGGAACCCAGCGCCAGAGCAGACCTCACCGGGCCCTGACCAAGGTGCCTATTCCTGGAGCTGCAGTGTCCAGCAGCTGTGGCCCCAGAGGCAAGCAGGACTCTCAGTAGGATTTCAGTGACCTTTTATTCTCCTATTTGTTTGTAAGCAGAGATATTATGGAGAGTTGAAGAAAAAACTTTCACTGTTTTTTGTTGTTGCTTTGTTTGTTTGTTGTTTTATTTTGCTTTGTTTTGGTGCAGGGTCTCTCTAGCAGCTCATGCTCCTAGTGAGCCTCCTGTCTCAGCTCCCCAGTGCTGCGAGTATAGGCATGCTCCACCACACCTGGGTTCTTGGCCAGCTTGGCATGGGGCTGGCACAGCAAGCAGTTCTGGGGATCTAACCGGCTCATTGTGTTTGCCAGGCAGTCGCTTAGAACACCAAGCTATCTCCCAGGCCTTGGTTTGATGTTGACCTCGGATCTGACTCAGATTCACCTACTAGACCAAGGCAGTGGTCTCCCCTTTTCCTGACTGTGCACCTGGCACGGCATAGCTTGATTTTATTCTGGTCCTACAAAGGAGCCAGGGATGCTGCTCTGGTGAACATGCATGGAC